GCTTACTCGAAAATAAGACCTAACCTGAAAATAATCACTAGTAGGATTTTTCAAGATGTTCGTCATATAAGCCCTACCCCAAAAATAAGCTCCAGTGAAGTGAACCCCCACCCTCCACCCTTGTGCAGCAACCAGAAGAAGGTGACATGACTGCATTTGAATAAACGTCTATTGTTGTACATGAAAAAAATAAAACATCCCCTGAAAATAAACCCTACTGCACTTTTTGGAGCAAACATTAATATAAGACCCTGTCTTATTTTCGTGCAAACACGGTAACAACTTGTAGGGATACAGATTTCAACATCAGCTTTTCTTCAGTTAAAGCCCAGCTGCTCAAAAACACACCTTCAGTTACAGTCTTTCTTCTCTTTTTGTTTCAGCACTCCAGGCCCCTCCTCCTTTCGGCTCTCCTGGATAGGCTGGCCACCTGCACATCCACACACCCAGCCAACCACCTTGCTTCCCCTGTTACTACGCGGATTGGCTAAGGATCTTTCACAGTCACATGTTTTTTGTTTTGGTGTGTGTGTCCTATTGATTGAGCCCCTCAATCAATAAATAACAAAGCTTTAAAACAGTTTTGATCTGTTTTAAAGCTTTGTTATTTATTGATTGAGGGGCTTTTTTTTATTCTGCAGTGTGGCACGCAGTAGAGCGGAATGGCAGGAAAAAAATTAAACACAGGCATGCACATGTGCCTGTACACCCCCACCCCCCTGCTGCAACTGACTACAGAGAGCTGAGGCTGAAAGTCACCACAGCCAGTGACTATGCTTCCAAAGGATGGAGATGGCTGCATGCATACACACACACACAATCACACATAGGGTGGAGAAGGACAGGTGCCATGGAAGCAACACCAGTGACTACCAAGCTGCACAGAAACAGTTTATACTTGTACATATTGAATAGATTAAAGTCCCTTATTTGGGCAAGGTGTTGGAGCGGGTTGTGGCTGGGCAACTCCAGGCGCTGCTGGATGAAACAGATTTTCTGGATCCATTTCAATCGGGTTTCAGCTGGGCTTTGGTATGAAGACTGCCTTGGTCACCCTGTACGATTACCTTTGCTGGGAGAGAGACAGGGTGTGTGTGACCCTGTTGATACTCCTGGACCCCTCAGTGGCTTTTGACACCATTGACCATGGTGTGCTTCTGGATTGGCTGGCTGGGTTGGGTTGGGAGTCGGGGTCACTGCTTTACAGTGGTTCCGCTCTTTCCTGGCTGACCATGTCCAGAAGGTGATGCTGGGGGACAGTTGCTCTGCCCCATGACATTTATGCCATGGGGTTCCTCAAAGCTCAATACTGTTCCCCATCTACATGGAACCGCTGGTCATTAGGAGGTTTGGGCCGAGGAATCAGCAGTATGCTGACAACACTCAGCTCTACCTCTCGTTTTCCACCAATCTAGGTGAGACGGTTTCTGTGCTGAACTTGTGTCTGGAACTGATAATGGAGTGGATGAGGTTTAATAAATTGAAACTCAATCCAGATAAGATAGAAGTGCTGTTAGCGGGTGCTTCATCGGACAGGCTAGAGAGCCATTTCCCTGCCCTGAATGGGGTTGCACTCCCCTAAAGGACAAGGTCTGCAGCCTTGACCCTAGTCTAACTCTGGAAGCCCAGGCGGACTCGGTGGCCAGGGGTGCCTTCCTTCAGCTGCAGAAATTACACCAGCTACGGCCCTACCTGGAGCAGAGTCTCATGACAGTTACACACACACACTGGTAACATTCTGTAGAGATTACAGTACTGCAATGTGATCATGATAGTTACACACACACTGGTAACATTCTGTATAGATTACAGTACTGCAGTGTGATGCCTTTGAAGACGGTCCAGCGACTGCAACTGGTTCAGAATCGAGCTACGCGGCTGGTAAGTGGTGGGGCCACTGACTAGGGGACACATCAAGCCGATTCTGTTTAAATTGCTGTCACGCACCCATTCCCCTGTTTGTTTCTCCACACAACCCAGGTTCACTTTTGGGTGTGACATTTACTTTTCAACCCTTTCCACTGCTACCAGAGGAGATATTCTTCACTATATCAAATAGGACTCTTCGATCAGTGTTATTCAATTAAACAATGTTTATTAAAGTGTTCACAAGTAAATCATGTAAAGTAAATCATGGATGGTCTTATTTTATTCATTTAATCATCTGTGCTGTGATAACATTTATATTTGCTTAGATAGAATCATTTTACTTCAAGTATTTATTCATTTCTTTTCTTATTCCCTATCTCTCTATTACTCTTCTCTAACACAAGGCTGGTCCTAACTGCCTAAACTGCTTTTCTCTAACACCAGTCCCTAACTCATCCTTACTTCTTCCCTAACTGCTTCAAACTCAGACTCTAACTGCAATTCTCTCTAACTCCAAACTCTAACACAGACCCTCACTGCTCTTTAACTGACATCCATTCTCTTATATATCCCTAGTTCCACCTTTTCTGTACAGCCATTGGCTCTTGAATCAGGGTTCCATTGTGATGGACAGGAGTGGTTCCTGACCTGTCCGTCGCAATTACATTGGCTACCCTTCGCTGCCCGGGTCCAATTCAAAGTGCTTGTTTTGACATATAAAGCCCTGAACGGCTTGGGCCCTGGATACCTGAAGGACCGCCTCCTTCCATATGACTCTACCTGGCAGTTAAGATCTAGCCAGGGGGCCCTCCTGAAAGAGCCATCTCTCAAGGAGGTAAGGGCCTTTTTGGCAGCTGCCCCAAGACTATGGAATGCCATCCTGAGTGAGAATTGTCTGGCAACAATGTTGATGATGTTTCGGCACCAGGCCAAAACCTTCCTGTCCCATAAGGTTTTTAATTGAAATAATATCAACTGTGGGTCCATGTGGCAATTTTTAGAGCACTGTATTTTTAATTGTTTGATCCTTTTATTGCATTCAAATTGTTGTAAGCCGCCGAGAGATCTTTGGGTAGTGTGGGCAGCATATAAGTTAAATAAACAAAATTAATAAATTACATCGATTTAACACCTGAGTTAAAATAAACAATCCTTTTGTGGAACAATAAAATACTTCACTTCTGATCAAAAGAACATGATTACAGTACTTGTTTAAAAAAATCCATGCTTTCACATGCGTTTTGTACTCTCCTTTTAAAAATCAATTTAAAACATGCTAAACCAATTCAGATATATTTCTTTTCCCCTAGTGTAACTATATTCTTTGTCTGAGAGCTGTTTCATAACAAATGCATCAGTCTAGGTTGTTGGCCCTGTCAGCTTTCTATTTAAAAAAACTGTCAAAATGATATAGAAAAGCTTCAGTCTTCACATGAAATAAACACTCAGAGAAAAATTAAAAATAGTTACTAGTTGTCCGTGAATCCATTGACAGCTATTCTAGATTAATAGTAATGATAGATAAGGATATTTCCTTGCCTTCCCAAAGCCATAGAAATGGGACAACTTGTCCTAAGCTACTGAAATTTTGTCTGCCTGTTAGTGAAATTAACAGTTCTTACATACTCTATTTCTGTGTGTGGAGGATAACTCCAGTCAGCAGCCTATGAAAACAGACCTAGCACCAATTCCTTCCCATAGCACAGTTTTAGTATTGAAAATAGATTCTGAATCTAAGTATTGGTTACTTATTATGAGAGAAAGGAACTTGTTCATGTTCCAGAACTGCACCTTGGGGTTCAATGCTAAACACACTCTGTAGGAGCATAAGCCATATTGAACACAGTGGGACTTGAAAACTAAGCATAGGAGATGTGTGTCAGTTGTTATATTTTCTGCAGAAGGAAAGGCCCTCTCTGACTCTTTTTAAATAATATCTTTAGTAATGGTTGTTAGCAATCTACAGTACTTTTATTTCCTTCAATTGTTGCTTTTATCATAACAATACTATATTTTCAAACATTTAAATATAATATTTTATACCTGGAAACATGCAACTATATATATCCACAGCTGTTGGGTTTTGTATGTGGAATTAAGTGTATTAGGACATCTAGTGTTCCATGCAGTGTTGTACATCGCAAGGAATTTCTCTTTAGTGATGGTGCAGTGGCTGTGTGTCACTTTACTCTGAAGCTCAAGTGTGGGTTTTTAAATAATTGTTCCTTGCCTATTTTGTCTTTTCAATATCATTTTCCCCTATAGAATTTCCTATTTATTTCTTCTCTGTTTACCTCCAGTCCTGCAATACGAAACATGCAACCAAAAAAATGTAATATGAGAATGGAGAATGAAAAGTAAAAACAGTATGAGGTGTGCAGTAATATTGAGAAATCCTTAGTCATTTAACCGTATGTATGGTTAAATGGTCATACAGCTTTGCAAATAGAATTGATAGGGTCTGGAACTCATGTTTACAATCTGTTATCCTCTTGTGTAATCCTGCTACCATTCACACATGTTCAGTGGAATTTTTGATTTTTAAACTATGTTCTTTATTTATACCACTGGCAGTACTCTTAAACCACACAGGATAGTGCTTCGTTATTAGCTGGTTTACCAACAAAGAAGAAGAACAGATAAATGAAATATTTCCCAGAGTTTATATTACGCAACATATTATGTTACCAGTCTGATGCCAAATAAATGTTACCAGAGGCCAGTACATATAATAGCCATTTGCCATTGCAACTCCAGTAATTCAACCCCTACCCCACCCCGTAGGAATACAGCCATCCTCCGCAACTGAGCTGCGATTTGTCATTGCAGAGGGACAGTACATATAATAAGCAACATTACCCTAATTCATTGTGTGTAGGTGGAATATAAGAGGAGAAACTAGATCAATTGTGGAGAGTAGTATATAAGGCAGTGAACAGGAGGTAAACTGGAACAATTGTTCATCACTAACTAATTTGCTGTAGATTAAAAAGGGGGAGAAGGTGTTTGGTAGTTATTGTTTTTTACTTAGTTGTTAGACAATGGCAAAACAAAATCATTCCTCCTGTTTTAAATTATACTGCTGACATGAAGAAAGCTTTAGGAACCCAGAAATATATGTATAGAGAGAGCGAGGGGGTTAGGGGAAATGAAACTTTCTCTGTCTGTCTCTTGTTCTTTAATTCTGCAAACATATCTTTTGGGCATGGCTCCGGAATCAAGGGCTTCTAATAAAAAACAAGTCTGCTTATTCTGGTATACTAAACTCGTATACAGTTTTATTTATTCGCATGGGAATTGGAGTTCTCCTGAGCTGTGCATGAAAACACAAAACAGCCAGACATAAAGTTCAGGAATAGTAATCTACTTATAAGAATTTTTTCCAGCTATTCATGCCTTGCAAATGACATTGCCAACTCAAGTTATTTTAACAATAGTAATTCACATACAAACAATGAATCACAAATAATGCTCTGTTAATTTTCTGCATCTTGGGGAAGGAATTCCTACTTTCTTAACCATTATCCTTTCCCATTACTGCTGCTTCTAGAGATACACCTTCTGGTCAAAAATAGTCTAATTGCCGTAACATTTTAATTTATTTTTTAATTTTACCTATATTTCATATATGTTCATCATTTTAAATTGTGC